ATATATATATATATATATATTACTGTGAAAGACCAATATTTGTGAATGTCGACACACACAACTGTGTGAATGTTGACATTCACAACAAACAACTGTGTGAATGTTGACATTCCCCCCATTTCGGTCATTCACAGTAACATATACACACACACATAGGGTGTTTTGAAATTCCTGTTACAATATTACACTTCCAAAATTTGATGCATATGATAAGATTAAAAAGTATATGGTAAAAAAAATATATGCAATCTTTTATTTTCATTAAAACAAACATTTTTTAAGTGAATAAAGTAAATTATTACACCATACAGCCAGTATAAAAAAATAAAATAAACAAACACTGAAAATGTATGTCATAAAGTAGATGATCTCTTTGCATGAATTATGGTTGTGACACAAGAAATTCAACACATACCATATATTTTTTAGCAAGTGTACTAGCTCATAAATATTGTATGCTTCGCAGATATAATGTTTGCATAGACAGTGGACACCACCATATTGAGCAGCTCTTGTAATAGATCAGAATGTAAAATGAAAAGTACTACTATTTAAGAAGTACAGTATTACACATTTTTATAAAAAAAACATTGCTTTCAAATATATAAAAATAACATACAAAATTTTACAATAAATCTATTTATGTTTTCTTATAAACCTTTCAATTTAAATAAAAGAATAAAGTATGAATTTGTCTTCATTTCAACAAAAACTTCAAAACTGGCAAATGTATAAATTTAAGATTGCCATGAATGAACAATTGGCCTAATCAATTTTTTCTTTCAAACTTAATGTTCAAAAATCTCAACCAAATTCTTCCAAAAGTAATTTGCTTGACCCAATCATTAATATCTTAATGAAACAAATGCACAAATCTTAAGTGTGGTGTTTATGCCAAATCAATTTTTGTAACATTAAACTAATATTAATTACACTAATAATAAAACCATAATAGACTTACAAAAAAATTAAAAATTTGATTTTATAAAAGAAAATGCTTTTTCAATATCTTTTTCATTATAAATTTATTAATTTCTTACTTTATAAACATTTGTTTCATAATTTAATGATAATGTACTAGTACATGTACAGAATTACTTCTACTTTTTATTAGTACATTCAAAGAAAGCAAATTTAAAATATTTATAAATTTTTCTTTAATTTTAGAAATATCTCATAGGAGAAAATAACACAAACACTTTGTAGGACGTGGAAAAATTTTTTTTTAAATTGTAAGAAATGGGAAAGACACACGTAGCATACAAAGGGCCCCAGTGGTGTATATAATTCCACTTCATGACAATAGTTTTTGATAGGGGAATTAATCTACATAGGCTAAACCAAACATTCCTTATGCAAATGATTGAAAGAGAACAAGTATGAGAGATAGCACAGGAAAATCACTACTATCCTTTCCATTTATGCATCGAATGATAAAATGTACCTTTGCTACAAGTGATTATTTAAAAAGGACCATCTAGGAAGAAAATCTAAGAGATCTGGAATCCCTTGAAACTTTTAATGCAAATATGCGAGTTACTTGCATCAACAGTACAGAAGAAAGGTCACACTCAAAAGTCTGCTATGATTCTTCACTTCCAATTATTGTCCATAATTTCTGGTAATGCTTTAAATTTTAAATCCCAGTTCAACAAAAGCTCATTCAATTTTTAGTGGTTCTCCAAACATTTTGTTTTAAATTTACTACTCAATGAGCAGATATTTACTACAATTCAAATTTTGCAGCTGTTCTTTGAACATTCCATTATAGAATTTGAAGATTCCATCTTGGATCTTAGCTATTCCTGATAAAGGTCTATGGAGTTGACAGAAACATTTGAACTTCTCATTACTTTCATTGCTAGATTGACCTTGAGGTTCGTACATGGTTTTGTAAAAAAAAAAAGTTGTTGGTGTTATTTTTCTGTCAACTGTATCTCACAGTAAAAAAACTACTACAGTTGACAGAAAAATAACACCAACAACTTTTTTTTACAAAACCATATACAAACCTCAAGGTCAGTCTAGCAATGAAAGTAATGAGAAGTTCAAATGTTTCTGTCAACCTATAATAAAATAAAAATTCAAGTATTCAAACTAATTTTACTGAAATAATATCTTTCTTTATTTTGATATTTAACAAATATAATTTATATTATATTGTACTTGATGATGTGCTTTATGTCCTTCTATTGCTAAATATATGAATGTTAAATTTTCAGCTCTATCATAAACTTGGCTCTTTTTTTGCAATAAATTTTGGCTTTTTTTGTGTTCATTGGTGTCTGTGATTCTAATCAGTTTCAATAGTGTGTGATAAGTCCTATTGAGAGCTGAAGTGCTCATAGAGTCTTTATATTATACTTATTGTATAAATGTCATTATATGGTATTTACAATTAATTTTTAATTAAAAATAAATAAAATAATAAAACTTTTATCATCATCAAAATAAAAAACACATCTAGAATAAAAATTATTAATATTTTATTTTTAAAAATAAATTTAAAATTTTTTACAATAAATTGTTATTATTAATTTACTTCAAATAGTTTTATTTGAAAGGATACAATGGAATATCCCACACTTCTGAATCATTGTCATTAAGGTCTGGTACACTATCAATGCAAAAGTCTTGATAGATTTGTAGCTGAAAGGTTTTCTAGATAAAAATATACAATAGAGTTTATTATTAATAACTTTTTCTAACTTCAGAAAAATTTCATAAATGAACATAATACAAAATTTAAGATTAATAAACGAGAAATAATTTATAATCTAAAATTATATAAAATCAAAAAAACAAAAAAAATCAGAGTATTTCATTGAAACTTAATTTTTTTTGTAACAATTTGCATAAAAATAATAAAACAAACACGATATCTTATTTCAGTATTTAGATTTGTAATAAACAATATAATAATCAAATATAATGTATATAATTTAATTTTAATAAAAGGTTATGAAACTTGGTATTATCTTTGTGAATAAATAAATAAATTACTGCTAATTTCAGAAAGCCAACTTCTTACTAAACTAAAAAAGTTTTCATTTAAATCTTACCATCCTCAGCTTAATCTTAGATTTAATAGTTTAAAGTAATATAGCATAGAATAAATAAATTAGAACAAATTCATAATTAATACAGTGATACCTTGGTTTTTGTCGATAATCCGTCCGAAAACAATTGGCAAAATTTGAAACTGACAAAAACTGAGGCAATTATTTCTATATGAATCAATGTAAATCCAATTAATTTGTTCTAGACACACCAAAATACATACCAAACACACATTTCATAGAGAATAAATATAGTGTTATATAGTTAATATAGTTAAAAACAATAAGAAATTAATATAAAATGAAAATAAAAGTGACTGATTTCAGCAATCTTAATGTTGTTCTATTTTTCGATGATTTTCTTCTTCAACTCAATAATGTTTCTGGCCTTCATCTTTGAAGGGCTGCTGGCTCTGAAAACTTTCTTTCGTTCTAAGATGGAGAAAAAAACGAAAGGAAAGCAATGGAATTGTTTGGCTCGAGACACAGGGTAATAATGCTCACACAATGAGAAATAATGCCTCACTGAGCAGGAAAGCGTGTAGGTCACCCTTTGTTTTCACAAAACTAGCAGCGAGGTCATGTCAGCACGTCAACAAAATCTGAGGCAACCGACAAAAAACCAAGACAAATTTTTTGCAGAAAAAATTTATGAAAACCAAAACGAATAAGATAATGATAACTGAAGTCAACAAAAACTGAGGTATTACTGTACTCCAAACAGTTACAATTTTTGAATTTAAAACAAATGTATTAGATCAGTGTTTTACCTTTTTTTGTGATATGTCCCACCTAAGCCTTTTTAAAATTCTTATGCCCCTCCTAACGTAAACAGTGGCTATACAGTTAACCTTAAACTCTGGACAAGTCCATTTTCAAATTGCCCCCTTAACAATTCAATGCCCCCTGTGGGGCGTGGGCCCCACGTTGGGAAACACTGTATTATATCATGTGAAGTAAAATAATGTAAATTAAATAAAAAAACAAGTTAGCATCTACATAAAAACTTATTAAGTAAGAAGATTTATATTATATTGGTTCTACAATTTAGGTAGGTCAATTTCAAAGAGAATGAAAGAACATTATTTTAATTCTTCTAATACAATTATAACTAATGCCATTTCCATATGAGCTGTTTCTAAAGACAGATAAATGTATTAAGGAATAAACCTAAGAAATGGGACAATGGTTATAAATCAAGAATTTCAGAGCAATTTTATATATGTTTTGAGATATCACTGTAACATTATTAACAGAGTTCTAGCAAATGAGCTAAGTGAGTTACAGCTCAGAAATTTGACAGTTGGCTCAACTCTCAGCTGGAGTCCAGAATTGCAGTTTATAGCTCAACATAACTCAGTTCTGGTCTATATGTTGAGTTTTTTGTAAAGATGGTCTGTCCTATCCACTTTGAATTATTGAGACTCTACTGTACCTGTTTTGCTATAAATGATTGTTGTTATTTGTATCATTTTAAAATATTACCCTTTATTACTTTTAATAAGTCTCTTAATCTAAAAATTGTTTAATGCTCAAGCACTTTTTATTTGAATGCTCTCATTTTAATAACAGATACATGAAAACATATCCAAAATACTGTGTATATGTTATTATTACAGATACAATTTTAAAAATGAGCTTTGCTGCAACATACTCCAATTAAGCTCAGCTCCCATCCATATTCATAATTTAACTCAGCTCTTGTCCTAATTCACAACTCAGCTCACAATCCACCTGACAAGACCTCGACTCAGCTTGGTATTTTCCAAATAGCTGAGCTTTGCCAAACTAATTATTAATATGCAAGATTTATATGGAATTGGCAATGCTTGGCTATGGTTGATGAATTTCATCAATTTCTCTTCTTTCTTTAAGAGATTAATAACAAAATTTGCTAATTATGCTTGTACAAAATTTCTACTTTATTTTGTTTTATTGTATAGTACTTTATTTAATTTATACAGTAATACAGTAGGGCCTCGAAAACTCAGCCTAATGTGGACCGAAGGGTGGCCGAGTTTGTGAAAATGCCGGGTTATCGGGAATGGGGTTAAAAAAGGATAAGTATGCGTGTTTCCTCAGAAAATATTGTACTGTACTTGTATGTATTGTTTGTTTGAGAATACAACAGAGAATAAACTGCCCAAATACCCTTAAACAAAGGAAAAGTACGTCCTTTATGAAGGCATAGAGCCTTTACTACATGAAAATGAAAATTAATGAATACACTGTGTACAGTAATTTACTTGATAAGACAGACCTCAGAAAAATACTTTATGAGGCATAAAGCTGTTTATAATGAAAATTAATTAACTAAGGATTTTTTTTGCCTTGCCAGGGTGTGGCCGAGTTATCCGGAGTGCCGGGTTATCGAGTGCCGAGTTTTCGAGGCTCTACTGTACCCCGAACTTACACGATAGGTGGGATCGAGCGATAACTGCGTAAGTCGAATTCGCGTAAGTCGGGGTATAATTTTGCATATAAATACATACAAATAATTTTTAATTGGGGCCAGAAACTAAAGAAAACAATAATTTAGAAAAAAAAATGTTTAATAAAATCTTAGATAATACATATGTATAACAAATTATTATTACACAATTTTCCACATTTGCTTGATTATCACACCATAATTTTAACATCGTTTCCATCTCAGGGATAATACCATGAAGTTTACGAATGATGCTTGAATTTAAAGATTGAGCATTTTTTACAGCTTCGAGAATTTTTTCTTTACCTTTTATAGTTGTTCTGACCATCGATTCCGATAGATCAAACTTCTTTGCCAATTCATAAATTTTCATTTTTGTATCCAAGTCTTTAATAATGTTAACTTTACATTCCAAAGATAAAGTTTTTCTTTTCTTGTTTGATGCAGAAGAATCAGTTCTACTTTGTTCAGTTGACATAGTAGAGTCTCCCAAGTCTCCGCAGATATAACAAAACACAGAAATAAATAACACAAAATAAATTGTAGCTATATGTCGATTCCGTGCGACACGTCCGAACATTTAAGCCGAACAATAGTGTGGGGGGAGTGAGTAATCAAGAGCTGCGTGGCGCTCAAACAAAAGATGAATCGACGAGATTTGAAAATCGTGTAACTCCAGGTTCGCGTAAGTCAAGGTATTACTGTATTATATTATATTATTTCACATGTTCTATTGCATTTGTTTTCAAAATTTAAAAACTGTAATTGTTTAAAATATGAATTTTGAATTTGTCTATACTAATTTATATACTCTATGGCACAATATTCTAAACTGTAAATCTAAGATTTTAAGCTGTCAAATTTTGATCAAAAACATTTTTTTTAATAAAAAGTATGCTCTCTGAAATTAGTGGAATTTATTTATTTACTTATGTATAATGGTTTGTTTATTAATCAAAATATTTGCAAAAGTTCTTTGTATAAAAAATTTATAAATTTTAACTGCTTACATCATCTTGAGCTGAACATTTTTCATCATTTTCTTTAGCCAACAAGTTATGAAGGAATGTTTCTACTTCTGCTTTGTAATTTCTGTTAAATAGTATATCTATAGTTATGTTTGTTATGAAACATAAAAATTAAAGGTAAAAGAATAAAAATTTGCTAATGACATTGACAAAATGTTTTAAATTCATTACTTTCATAAATAAAAGGTGATTATAAAGTAACTTGATTAGCAGTGAATTCAGGTCTGTGAAAAGCAAGGAAATCATTGAAACTTTTTCAGGATAAATACAGGGTAACATGTGCTTGCAATACACCAAAATGAATTTGTTGCACATTTCATAGAAAAGAAGCACCAGTAGAGTAAAACTTCTTTTCTGTGAAATATGTAACCAAAGCAGAAAATGGGAAAATGTGAACTTTGAATTCTTCTCAACAAATGCTTTTATACCCCACAGCTGATATCACAGTAAGCTTCAGCTACAGTGCTGCTGCCTCAACCATGAGCTATGGGTAGTATGGGTCTTCTGTCACAAAGTGACTTCCTTGCTTCCCATTGTTCAAACACCAATTATATATGTTGTTTTTCTTTCTTCATATACCATTCCAATGCCTTATTCTGTTTTCTGTCATGCAAAATCTTGTGGCATTGTGAATTCTCAGTGTATGTATTGAAAATTTTTGATATATGGTTACAACTAATTGTAACCGTGATATGTGTTCTAACTCAATTTTCGCGTATTGTGAGCACGTCATTATCCTATACTTATCCTGCAAAAAGTTCAACAGATTTCTTGTTTTCCATGCTCCTGAGATTGACACTAATTGGTCAAATTATTTTAATAATAAATAAATAAATAATTACAACAATTTTAATTATAGCAAAATTATACTAATTATTTTGAATTAGTACATCTCTACTATTGTTAAGCAAACAAAAATAAAAAAGCCAGTTAATTTTAATGCATAAGAATACACTATCATTATATAATATTTAGATTCACAAAACATTTGAATGTCTTTATTGATAACTGATTAATATTTTATTAATGTGGATAAATTATTTCTTAAACCAGACTTTTTAAGACAATTTATACTTCAATAAATTAATACAGTATTTCAAAATTAGTTTACATCATTCAATTTTCTGTATATTTTTTTAAAGAGGAATTCTTAGTGTCTTCTAACTTCAAGAAGGTTTCCAAGCCTTCTTGAAGTTAAAAGACATCAAGAATTCTAAATGTGTTACAAATAAAATTTTTTGAGATATTGTTTTATTTGTAATGCACTTCAAATCCAATTTAAAATTTTGTTTGCCTTGTAACATGAGAATGAATTATTAAACAGACTGAAAATGTTTGCTTGAAATATAAATTTTTATTCAGTACTAAGTACTAAGATATGGATTTTATCTTTTTTCAGTTACTAGTGAATATTTCCTATCTTCAGATATCATTTTACATCATTTAATCATTTAAAAGTATGCAAAACCATTTGAAAAATAATATCAATTAGAACCATTTAAAAATGTTAAAACATTTTTACTGAAATATCTTCTATACAGGTATACCTCGACTTACGTCGTTTCGAGTTACGTCGTTCCCGATTATACGTCATTTGTCAAAAAAGTATATGGAAAAATAAAAATCAAGTTTAAGTCATTTTATTCGACTTTACGTCTGTCTGCCACAAATACTGAAGTCGTAATATCATTATAAAAACGTTTAAAGCACATAAAATCATATTAAAATATGTACATTTACAAGTATGTACTGTATTTACAGTACATGCATTCGCAAATTTAGATTACGTTTTTCTGTACTATATTAAAAACTAAAATTTATTTGTTCGTAAGCTTAAAATAGATCCTTATTAACCATATATTATTAAAGATGCATTAATAAATAAAATACAGAACCGGAATTGGTAATTTATGGTTTAGCCTAGTGACAAGTAGATTCGGAAACAAGTAAATTCGACTTATGTCGTTTTTCGACTTAAGTCGTTCTCCTGGAACCAATTACCGACGTAAGGCAAGGTATACCTGTATAATCACATCATACAAATTATTAGGACACAGATTGTGTCCTAATAATTTGCATTTTCTCTACATATAAAGTTGCCCCTTGTTTCATGAGAGTTATTGAAGAAAGACCACCAGGCAATGAGAAGGAATCAGAGTTTTTATAGTTAACTAGCTGTTACCCGCAACTTCGCCCGCAGAGGTTTTGCAAGCAAACCCCATTTATATTCAGTATTTCAACAACCATAGTAATTGTTATATGACACCTACTGCCGAGAATGATGAGAATTGCTGAGAATCAAACAAACTATTTTCAATTTGATCAATTTTCTGGAACTTTTACAATCATTCTATAATTTAAAAAGGTTTGAACATTTGGTTAAAAAATCGAAATATATAAAAATATTTATAACAATGTCTGAAATGTTATTAATTTAATACACTTAGGTACTTAATGAAGACTAAACGTAACAAAAAAATCGCATCTAAAATAGTACAGTAGAAGCCGTTTTTCCGGTTAAGACTTAATCTCTCCCTCTCCCCTCCGCAGGGGAATTTCGAAAAATCCCTTCTTAGTGAGCATTTTCATGACGTATCCTAACTGTGTACCAAATTTCACCTCTAGGTTCAGCGGTTTGCTCTGGGCAATTATGAATCAGTGAATGAGTCAGTCAGTCAGGACAAGCAATTTTATATATATAGATGAATTCATTTAGATCTTAAATAAATCTTCAAACTTAATAATTAAGTTACATTAAAACAGATTTTAATGTCATTATTAAGTTTAGATCTGATGATGAGATATGATAGTCTTGAAAAATGTTTTATCAAGTCACAAACTGACTTCTTAAAAATTATTAGCATTGTCTTAGGGATTAAAATCTTAAATTTAAGTTCAAACTCAGAGTGTGTATAAAAATTAATGACATCTTAGAATTGAAGAACTGTGGTATATATATATTTATCATGAACCAAAAATATATCTCATTTTCATTTAATTTCTTTCATACTACTGACTTTATCATTAACATTTCAAAAACACAAGATTACTAATAAAACAGTGTGTGTTCCTTAAGTCTGAAATTCATCTTTAAAGAAATATATCAAACTAAAATATTTTTATGTATATTTTAAAATATGTTTTCATTTTTCATAATTCAAAAATGTAATTTAATATATTACTATGCTATTTTATTAATTTTGCTTTTGTTTAATATTTTTATTTCTGATTATTTTAAAGATAGAAATTATTAGTAAATGTTATATTTTTTTTTTCTTTATAAATTCAAAATAATAGTGGAAATAAACTTGTAAAACAAACATTTTTTGATAAGTTTTCAAATAATATATTTAAAATTGTAATATTTAAAATAAAATAGTATTGTTTGTGATAAAAATATTTCTGCAGATAACTGATTTGAAATAACTTATGCCAATTCAGTTTTACTGAATAAAAGAATTATATTTATCTGATATTGACTCCAAACTGGTTTAAGTTATTAGTAAAATTAGTTTTGTGTATAAATTTAGTCTGTAAAAAGTAGAGAAAAATTAACGTGAAAATTTTGAAATTATTTAATATAACGATGTCAAAAAATATTCTCAAATTCACATTTCAACACAAAATATTTTTGTAGCATTCTAAATGAAATTCTAATGCATTCAAACATTTGTTGGTTTAAACACCCACACTTACTTGAGTACAATCAAACTCCAGAATATGTATATGCAAACTTGAAAGTATTGGTAGTTTCAAGTTTTTCATTTAACTTTGAATGCACTTGATACATGGATGTTTCAAAAATTACACATCTATAGGTTTGAGTTTTTAAATATATAAATACCAAACACCTTATTACCAGCAAACATTTTACTACAAAGGAAATACTTTCAGTCTAATTTAGATCATTTTCTATATTGTATTCAAAAGATAGAGAACCTGAAGATGATCCAAATTAGATTGAAAGTATTCACAGTAAAATTTCTGTTGATAATAAAGTGTTTGGTATTTACATATTTAGTTTTCAATAGTGTTTAGGGCTAAAAAAGCATTTTGTATTGAAAAATGGATACGAGTTCTGAAAAATAATCTAACATTTTAATTATATTTGAATCTTATTGAAATGAAGAATTAGAAGAGACTTTATTTACTTACTGTGCAAGGGCTTCATTCTTAAATGTAACTTGAATAAGTGGCATTTTAGTTGAAGAATCATCTTCATACAATGCAACCACACACTTCAATTCATTTTTTAATGCTTCATGTTAAAGAGTTAAGTATATTCATAACATAATTTTCAGTATAAATAGAAACCAACAGAAGATTTCTCAATACATTAAGCAATGTTTCCCAAACTTTTAACATTCATATAATTTTCTTCATACTTTAACATTATATATGATTGACATGTCCCAATTCTCAGAGATTCCAGCTTAACATATTAAAAAACTATACTGGTTCTGATTAATTTAATTATGAATTATAATAGCTTTAACATTAGATAAAAAATACAAATTTAGTAATTTATTCAATTAATTTAATGATAGGATTATTGCATTATTTTTAGTAATTCCTTTCATTGTGTTTCAAATCCTTTAAATATATACCAAATTTGGGAAACATATGATTTATTAAATCTTTAGAGAATATACTCAATAGTCAATCTTATAATAAAAAATAAATAAATAACAATTTACTATAGATATTTTCTAAATCACTTTATTTCCTTTTACTTTATGCAAATAATGTTTTAACTTCATAACAACTTTTAAACATTAAATTAGATAACTATCTCAGATTTTGTGAGTTTCCAGATTTACACAACTGTTCCTCCTGACAATGAATACCAGAAATATGAGGGCAGTTTTTTTTCAAGTTTCAATGGTCCATAAAACAAAGACAAGTGTAAATAACAAAATGAATTTATTACCAAAAGTTAGGTACAAACATAGCTACTTTTTGACATAATCACAATGAACATTGAGGAATTTGTCATATCTGTGCATGAGTTTTTCTATTTCCTTGTCATAGAATGTTGCACCAATGACTTGAGATGGGCGCTAACATTGTTTTGAACATTGTCATTAGTCTCAAACCTCTGGCCTGCTAGCCATGTTTTCAGTTCAGGAAAGAGGCAGAAGTCTTCACACATTAAAAAGTTCCAAGCTGGATAGAAGTCTGAAAAGCAGAAGTCTTCACCACCTTTAAACACCCAGCTATATGCTGGGTGTTTAAAGGTGGTGAGTGGTTTAAAGGTGTTTAAAGGTGTTTGTAGATGAGGCCATAGCACTTTAGCTGATGCTTACTATGACATCAGTTGTGGGATATAAAAGCATCTATTCAGAAGAATTCAAAGCATGCATTTTTCCATTTTCTGCATTATACGTTTCATGGAAAAGCAGCAGTCTTCTTTTCCATAAAATGTGTAACCAAAGTAGAAAATGGGAGAATGCATACTTTGAATTTTATTCAACAGATGCCTTTTATATCCCACAACTGATGTTACAGTAAGCTTCAGTTATGTGCTATGGTCTCATCTGCAAACCTGTATGGGTCTTCTGTCATGGGCCTATTGGCTCACTTGCTTCCTCATTTGCACATTGTTCAAACACCATATATCTGTTGTTTTTTGTTTCACACACACACACACACACACACACACACACACCATTCCAATGCCTTATGGTGTTTTCCATCAGGGGGATCTCATGACATCATAATTCTAAGTGTTTGTATTGAAAACAGGGCTGTGGAGTCGCGTAAAAATCTACCGACTCCAACTCCGACTTTTCCTTACCAATCTGACTCCAACTCTGGCTAAAACACCAAAACTCCACGACTCTGACTCCGACTCCACAGCCCTGATTGAAAATTATTTATGCATGATTATGTTAATTGAAACCATGTTGTTTGTGCTACTCATATTTTTGTGTATCACAGCACATGTTATCCAATATTTATCCTACAAAAGTTTCAATGGACTCCTCATTTTATGCACTCTTGAGATTGCCACTAGTTGATCAAGCCACTTTATGACATCCCTACATTTATAATGAACTTTTATAAGCAAATAAGAAAAGCCCTTACAAGCCCTTTCATTAGAATTATTATTCTAATGAAAGGGCTTGTAAGGGCTTATATGTAAAATTTGCTTTAGCATTTATTGAGACATTAGAATTAGAAACAACTAGAGTGTTATCCTAGATAAATTCTATTTCATTGAACTATCTTCATTACTGTATTCAGAAAAAAAATATATAAAAAGCTCATACAATGATATTAACAATGATACAGCCACATTCTAGTATCCAAATTCTTACTAAAACATTAATTAATGATAATTCTAACTGAATAAACTTAATAGTAAATAAAATCTCCACCAATGTGGAAATTAGTCCAACAGTTGTCCAAATTTATCACTTTTCAAACATTTTTGACATAGTCCAAAGGTCTTCATCAGAAAATAGAACAAAATGGAATGTTTGTTAAATCTCCAAACAGGAAAATATAATTTTAATTTCATATCAAATACAATTTATATTGATTGTCATGCACATAGCTCATACAGTAGATAGGCAGTTCACAAAGTATTGTCAAATCATGCCTGTCATGCTTTTGAGATTGCCCTTTCTTTTTCGTTGTTAATGTAATTTCTGCTCTGTTTGTCTCGAAAATTTCAAGAACCTCCTTCTCTCTAATATGTTCCCTAAGCCCCAATGTTTTTAGCATGAGGTTTGTTGAAAAAATGGGATAATTCTGGCTTCCAATGCATAGATGGATATGGCAGTGGTAGTTTTTCCATGCTAAATGTCATACTTGTGCTCCTTAACATGCTTGGATAGCACCTTTTGGTGGAGCTGATGCAGATCAGATTTCTCTGTAATCTGTCATTCCAAAGGTGAGTGGCATATACTCCAAGGGGTCTATCCTTATTTGTTAGGTCTTTTGCATTACTAAATTGAAAATAATCAAAGTTTGCTTGTAAGTGCTCACTTGAGACTGATTATACTTCTGTATATGTGAGATAAGATGAGGTTATATTGTATTGGGTTGTTTGGAAAGGTCATAGCAATTTTTGATAGCAAACAGTTGAGAGACTGATTGATGCAAAAATTATTAAATTGTATTGATATAAACCAATGAATATTGTAACGTTAAGTTACGTTGAACATTTTAAATAAGTAGAGTAGACCTACAGAGACTGAGTAAACTTTATTATCAGTAACAACAGTAACAAAGAGCCATGTAACTACAGTAATCTCTAGCACAAGGTCTCACACAAAACTGTTGGTGGACAAAAGAAATTTTCCATGTGCAATAGACCAGGCTCAGTGTCATCTATTGGCGGTCAGGCCACATGTCTAACCGACACTCACATATGACAAATATTACAAAAAATTATCTTGAGATGCATCCGTTACAAAAAAATACCATTAAGATTATGTCAAAACTATCTCCTTTCTGAGTTACTGGAGGTAATCACATTTGACAAAACCTTTAATTACCAGTAACAAATTAAGGAAAACGAACATTTTCGGCCTTCATCAAGGTCCGTATCAGGTTTTCTATAATGTTACTGGTAATTAAAGATTTTGTTGAATGTCATTAAGTTTATTCAAATATTGTTTAATTTGTCTCATTGTAAAAACAGATGCAAACAATATGCATTTTTGACACTTGTTTTTTCCTTCTATTGTAAAGGTAAAATTGCTGTACAAACAGCAAAAGAAATACGTGATGTTTATAGTGGGAGTGCTGTAGCAGAATCAACTGTTCAAAAGTGGTTTGCTAAAATTTAAAGCAGGTAATTTCAGCCTTAAGGATTCTCCCAGCTCAGGAAGACACCCTGTTATTGAAGAGGACCAGGTTAAAACATTATTGAATGATAACCCTCATTACACAACTCAAGAGATTGCAGACATAGTGAAGTCATCAAACAGTACTGTATTTCAACATCTAAAGAAGTCAGATATGTGAATCGTTATGACATTTGGATACCTCACAACTTAATGGAAAGAACTTACTGGATTGCATCTCCATTTGCAATTCTCTTGAAAAACGAAATGAAAATGATTCTTTTCTGAAGCTTTTAGTGACAGGTGATGAAAAGTGGATCATTTATAACATCATTAACCAAAAACAATCATATGGTAAGAAAAATGAACCACCATTAAAAACTCCAAAGGCTGGTCTTCATCCAAAAAAGGTCATGCTCACCATCTGCTGGGATTGGAAAGGAATCCTGTACTACAAGCTGCTTCCACAGAATCAAATAATTCAGTGGTTCTCAACCTTTTTTTGTTGATGTGCCCTATTAGCCCATTAGCTGTTTCTCAAGTACCTCTTATATTTTTGTGTGTAAGTTTTATAATTACTGCGTTAGATGTATACAGCCCTTATAACTGAGTGCCATAAAAAAAACTAACTAACTATACCTAAAAGTGAATTACTTATTTTACATAAATAATAATAAATTTAATCAGGTACATACATTTATTTATTATTATTTGATAAGTATATTATATAAAATCACAGAAGTCATTTCAATACATGCATAAATTACATTTCCTAAAAATAAAGAATTATAATTAACAATAAAGAAAATTTAAATTATTCTACAATAATTTCTAACAAAATTTAATGGGATATTTGTTGCGATAAATCTTCAACAATTTTTTTCAAAATTTGGTTCCCACTTACTAGACTACAGGTTCGCTCGGCACTAATGGCACAAATAGACAGGCAAATCAAGTGGCTAAACAAGTTTAAAAACAGTTAAGAGGGAAATCGATGTTCATACTGGAATATTTTAAAGCAAGGTTTTGTCGTGTCTTGTTTCTTGTGTTAATAATTTACAACAAATTGATTAACATACGCCATTTTATAATTAAAGTTAGATGTACTCCTTCAATTTATGCTCGTACCCTTAGGGGTACATGTACCCCCAGTTGAGAACCACTGAAATAATTGATTCTGATAAGTATTGTTTCCAACTGGATAAACTGAACATGGCAATTAAAGAAGCACATCTGGAACTGGCCAATAGAAAAAGCATTGTGTTTCATCAAGATAATGCCAGACTGAACACACCCTTACAAACATGCCAAAAATTATTGGAACTAGGCTTGTATGTTCTACCTCACCCCTCATTCTCACCTAATGTGCCCTGTCAGACTACCATCTGTTCCATTCTCTGCAGAATTCCCTTTGTGATAAAAAGTTTGACGCTTTGGAAACTTGCAAAAACCACTTGAAAGTTTTCCA